CGTCAAGTTGGTTGGGAGGGTACCCAAAGTTGCAATCTGTCGAATATTCCAGAATGAAAACATTTCATGAAGAATCATTTATCGAAAAAATGGAAGACGTGCATTTACTTCGCAGAGGTCAGAGAAATATCGAAAAAGACTTGAGTGCCCAAAATACTATCAAGCGCAACCACTTCATATACCAAGATACCACTATTTTATTTTAGAACGCATATTAGTATTAGTATTAATTAGAGTATAATTTGTAATTTAAAATGTATTTTTTTGTGATATTCACCTAAACGAGACAACTTAACTTGATTCGAACATAATCAGGAGTTGACAAAACGTATTCATACAGTTGGGCACCAAAATTTAAGAGAACCTCATAACGCACTGTGCATCACTCTTACCGCAGTACGTCTTTGTTTACTTCTGTATTGACCCTGCTGTTTTCAAGCACATCGCATTAACAGTGCCGCATGATATTAATATTGATAAAGTTGTTGGCAGCTAATACAATGCACTGTATACTTTAACTTGATCTATATCCATCTTTATCTTTGTCTTTATCTTCATTTTTATCTCTATCATCTTTATCTTTTTGTCATTTTATCTTTATCTTCTTTCCTTTTTATATTTTCATATTTTTATTTCTTACCTTTTTTCCTTTATCTTTATTTTGATCTTTTTATCAATATTGTATATTTGTATATTCTTGTTTATATCGTTTCACCTTTATCTTGTAATACATTTCTTACCATACCACTTATTTCCAATCTTCTTGTTAAGAATTGTGCTATACAAAAAAATAAATATACCTACAAAAAAATACAGCTGGAAGTAAAAGTGTATAGATAAATAGAAGTACTTCCTACTGTGCTATGTTTTTAATAATAACGTATATAATAAGCTTTGGTACAAAATTCATGGGTGTTAATTTTAACAAACACAATATAATATCAAGTTGCCTTTGGAAACAAAAGTTTGTTTACTTACTCTACTGTCAGTTGACATTAATTTATTTTGAAGTTTTCGTTTCAAGATGTATAAATTAGAAATAAGAAAAAGTATCGTAAGTTGGTTGGGAGGGTACCCAAAGTTGAAATCTGTCGAATATTCCAGAATGAAAACATTTCATGAAGAATCATTTTCGAAAAAATGAAAGACGTGCATTTACTTTGCAGAGGTCAGAGAAATATCGAAAAAGACTTGAGTGCCCCAAATACTATCAAGCGTAACTACTTCATATACCAAGATACCACTATTTTATTTTAGAACGCATATTAGTATTAGTATTAATTAGAGTATAATTTGTAATTTGAAATGTATTTTTTTGTGATATTCACCTAAACGAGACAACTTGATTCGAACATAATCAAGAGTTGACAAAACGTATTCATACAGTTGGGCACCAAAATTTAAGAGAACCTGATAACGCACTGTGTATCACTCTTACTGCAGTACGTCATTGTTTACTTCTGTACTGACCCTGCTGTTTTCAAGCACATCGCATTAACAGTGCCGCATGATATTAATATTGATACAGTTGTTGGCAGCTAATGCAATGCACTGTATACTTTAACTTGATGTATATCCATCTTTATCTTTGTCTCTACTTTTATCGTTGTCTTTATCTTCATTTTTATCTCTTTCTTTATCATCTTTATCTTTTTGTCATTTTATCTTTATCTTCTTTCCTTTAATATTTTCATATTTTTATTTCTTACCTTTTTTCCTTTATCTTTATCTCTTTATTTTGATCTTTTTATCAATATTGTATATTCTTGTTTATATCGTTTTATCTTTATCTTGTGATACGTTTCTTACCATACCACGTATTTCCAATTTTCTTCTTAAGAATTGTGCTATACAAAAAAATAAATATACCTACTAAAAACTACAGCTGGAAATAAAAGTGTATAGATAAATAGAAGTACTTCGTACTGTGCTGTTTTTTTTAATAATAACGCATATAATAAGCTTTGGTTCAAAATTCATTGCTGTTAATTTTAACAAACACAATATAATATCAAGTGGCCCTTGGAAACAAAAGTTTGTTTACTAACTCTACTGTCAGTTGACATTTACTTATTTTGAAGTTTTCGCTTTAAGATGTATAAATTAGAAATAAGAAAAAGTATCGTCAAGTTGGTTGGGAGGGTACCCAAAGTTGCAATCTGTCGAATATTCCAGAATGAAAACATTTCATGAAGAATCATTTATCGAAAAAATGGAAGACGTGCATTTACTTCGCAGAGGACAGAGAAATATCGAAAAAGGCTTGAGTGCCCCAAATACTATCAAGCGTAACTCCTTCATATACCAAGATACCACTATTTTATTTTAGAATGTCATCAAGTACGAGTATTTCAAATAATTTCACGTTTCTGATTTGCAGCATACTCCACCGAACGACTGAGCACTAATTCTTGTAACACCCTTCTACTAACAATGATGACAACCTCGTTTGTTGGTTACAATGTTTAGTAGTGTCTCACTCATCTTTCGAAAAGGCACTAACGTTACGGTGTGTATAGTCGTAACGTAACACAACCCCTATTTTTTAAATTATTAAATATAAATCTCTGTTTTTTTCCTCTTAATATGTGTTTGACATTTGTACACTACCCTACCCTATTAATTTTCAATTAGCTATGCTTCCTAAACATCTTTTCATCGAATAAATTTCATCTCTTAAGATCTCCTAGTCGGAGCTTTGGCTTCGGTGCATCTGCTTGATTTTTGAACTGGATGAAAGCGTACTTGGTAGGTTTCAGTATAGACCAGGATATTTAGGATTTAAGAGAAAAAATTGTATCACAATGAAATTATATTCTTCAGGGCATACGGAAAGCCCCCTAGCCGAGAGATACCAAACATTTTTCTGGCTAGCCTTTTTTATTAAGCAACGAAGTTGGAAACACCATTTTGTTATTACATTTATAATTATTACATACAATTTCTTATTTCAAAAAAGTGTCAGCAATTGTCAATCTCATCATTTATTTCTTTACTGGACAATGCATAACGGTAAATTAGAAATAATTACCAAAAGTTGAAGCCCTTGTGCTCAACAGTTTCTTAAATTTTCTAAATTTTACCAATTTTGTTCAGAAAAATTGCGTTTTAGGTTCAACTTAGGTCAATATCTTACTGAACGAAATACTAGACTTTTTATACTAACCCTGTATATATATATATATATACAATCAGAATAAGTTCGTTGTTTTTGGACAGTCTTAATCAGAATGCTTACCACTGAACAGCCGATGAAAAATGCACACTTTGACGAAAAAAGGTCTCTTTCTGGGCCTTTGAGAGCCAAAATAGTCATCAACATTAAGAGACTCAAGTAAGCCCACGTACAAAAAAGCAATATCAGTTGAATTGAAGAGAAAATGTAGTTTTCTGAATTAGAGATTAATATTTAGAATAATAATTTTATACCAGTTCTGACAAATATCGAATTTTATTTTTATACCAAAATACACTTATCTTGGTCGAATTATTTTATGGTAGTCCATCTCGTTAAAGGCCATCTTTTATAATTTCTGTCGACCATAAATGCGACAGCTGAGGGTGACTTCCGGTGCTCTCGTGTAGGAGTTCAACGGCCCACAAGCCGCGGTAGTGAATTAATTTCACACCTAGTGTTTGGTTTTTCGGGTTGTGGTGGTTTTAATAGGAATCGGCCTCGATTGGTGAATTTTGTTGTCGGAGTCCTTTTCTCACCGTCTTGGGGATTTAGGCGTTGTCACGACTTCACTAAACGATCGAGTTGAGGGGAACCGTCTGCATTGATAATCCCAAGACTACCTGTGATAGCCAAGCACCTGGCTTGGTGTCTTTTTTATTTTAGTTATTACTGGAATTCATTTAGCTGCCCCCCCCCCTCGGCTTTGCGTGTCCTCCAGGACTTCTTTTATTTTTTTTTATTTTTTTTGTTCAATAAAGGTTTGTATACTTTGAGTTTGTATCTCCTTTAGCGCCAGAGGCCCAACATTGGTTACTTGTTATTTCTAGAACTAGGTGTCGCCCAAACCACAACCATTTGCATCCAAAATTCAAAGTACAAAGAACCATCTCCCGAGCACAGTTACATTCTTTTAGCAAATTATATCTTAATTAACGCGGGATAAAATTAAGAAAGACCGTTTTACCTTTGCTGTAGGTTATATTTTTTTTTGTTTTTTTTTGCCCTCAAAGGTTCAAAAAAGTTCCTTTTTGTCGTCAAAGTGTATTGCTCATCCACTTCTGAGTAGTTAGCATCCTAATTACGACTGTAAAAAACAAATGACTTATTCTAACTGTTTATAAGGCAAAAATAGATGTGCTTTTTTACATTGTATGAGAAATTTTTATATTCTTTTCAATGCGACATTAAACTAAGCCAAGAGAATGAGCTCGATATGATCCAATTCCATTGACCCAAAGTCCCTTGACAACTCGTCAAAAAAAGGCAATTTTTCTGAGAAAATTAGAAACAATTAGAAAACCGCTGAAACGGTGGAGCATTCGTGAATAAACTTTTATGTATTGGCTGGATTTGCTACATTTTGTTTTACTACACACCAATAATTCATAACTTCTTGAATACATACAAAACAACTTTGGAGTTTCTTAAGAAAGTTAACCAGGACATTTTTTGTATCTCTCAATAAGCAGCCTTGTCATATACTCCCAAGAATGTAATTCCGCCGTAAAAACGCTTATCACAATCTCTTCTGAAATATGTTTGCTTTTTGGCTAGGCAGCTTGGTATAAGAAACTAGGCTTTTTGGTACAATCGAAAAACCTTCATGTCACTAACTGTAAAATTTTATCTATTACTTACATTGCTGAACGTCAGATTCCTGTTAATATGTCCATTAATCTCAACGCGCGCTCCTAAAATCAAGCTTGATTCTATTCGATCTAAAATTCGCTATTTTTAGGTCAAGTTCCATCAATGACATGAAGCTATTTGACCTGCTTTCCAGACAGCTTTTTATATGCAATAAACGTTTGTTCCAGGTTCACGTTTGGGTTTTATAAAGGTATTATTCCACTTTTATACGTATTTTCCGGACACATCTCGTATATCACCCCACAGAACAGCATTTCTCATTTAGTTGGCGCATTGATATGTGTCTGAATACTGAGTTAAAATTTAGATATATCAAGTGACGCTATCCTGAGTCTACCTTGATCGGACGGATAACATAGCCTTGTTTCATACCCTAGGTATGTAGCTTCCAATAATAATTGTACAGGGCGTCCCAATACTCCGTGGACATAGCAGTACCACGTATTCTTAACGCATCTCTCCTATCGACTTATTTTGAGTCTAAAAATACGTGGTATTTTCTATGTCCATCATAAGACGTTGACAGGAACAGATGCACCTAAGCGGATTCGCTACTAGAAGACGTTTTACAATATAAAATTCCTTTACACATCAAAGTACCTCTCATAAATCAACATCCTGCTTCCATCGTCCAGACGTTCGGGTTCTTCGACAGTTGTTTTTGATCTGACTCTTTGATTGCCAGTTGCTTTCTGTTGTCTACATTTTGATTCTTAACTTTGTACATACTAATATAACGATGTTTGCCGTCGCTAAGTATTAAAGGGACTCTTTGGCACAGAAGATGAGTTATCTAGAGTGGTGGAAGTGGGGGGCAGAGGATCTTTTTCGCGCTGTTGTTGTTGTTGCTGTTGCTGTTGCAGCTGGAGCAGTTGCTGTTTCTTTGTCGGCTCAGCGTCTGGCGGCCGGTGACTCTTCATGTGCGCGCTGCGGCTTTTTATTTTTGTGAATACTCTGCACAAAGAAAAGTTTATTATATATGGTGAGGCGGAATGTAGCGCCTCACTTATAACTTTTTTATTCACGGACTGACTTTAGTATATTCTGCAAAACGTGTATCCAACGTTTCAAATTCGGCCTTCACCATTACAGAGTAATACGAAGTCGCTTGAATAGAGGCAAAAATGCGTATTTAGGTAACTAACAAAATTGTGTTTAAAAAGATTCAAAATTCGACGTACTTCCGTAGAGAGACGGAAAAAAACGATTTCGGAAACGCTGTTAGGGTTGTAAGGAGGATGGCCAATGGCAGCTAAATCGCTCTTGAGACACCCGGTATATTATTTGCAACCTTGAGAACTTCATACTCATGGTGTTCATTTGAAAACCTCTCACCACGGATTTATCGAAAACCAATAACTAAAAGAAAAAACGCGGAGACACGTCAAAAATAGTTGTCAACGGAGACAATTTTTCAACCAAAAACTACCTCACCCCCTTTCACCCTTTGCCCCCCAGGGTCATCCTCTTAAAAACTTTAAATGATAATGGGTGTCGAGTGATAGCTTGTTTGAAAGGTCTTTCGAAGTGCTTAACGCTGACGTTTGATTTTTTAAAATCGGTAGATTCGTTTTAAAGAAAATTATACTAAGTGACATATAAATCCGAACACGCAGTTTAAATGGTTTTATTTTAATAAAATTTTGTATAAGTACTTAATGAAGCATAATAAGTAAATGATAAAAATTTCAAAATGATTGCACTGCTTTAAAGCCCTTTGACCTTTAATAATGTGTGGATGCACCCTGATGTGCTACGCATTCTCCAACGCGCCTAGGCATGCTTCTGATTGGGTGGTCAATGTCCTCCTGTGGTATCTCATTCCAGGCAACCACCAACTCCTCTCGAAGTGCTTCTAGAGTCTGAGGAGGACGTCGCAAATTGAGCAATCTCCTACCCATCATACCCCACACGTGCTCAATTGGGGATAAGTCGGGAGATCTTGGTGGCCATGGTAACAATGTGACATTATTATGTTGAAAGAAGTCTATTGTGACTCTTGCAACATGTGGTCGGGCATTATCTTGTTGGAAAGTTGGATCTGCCCGGGTGTCAAGATAGGGTAAAAGATGGGGTTCTAGAACTTCGTGGATATAACGCTGCGCGTTCATGTTACCTCTGATGAAGATTAAAGGTGACCTGGTACCATAAGCTATAGCACCCCAAACCATAACTCCAACAGTGTGATGAACATGTGTTTCAACAAAAAACTGTGGATTCCTGCTTTCACCACGTCGCCTTCTAACCCTGGCACGACCATCGTGCATGCCTAAACAAAATCAAGACTCGTCACTAAAGACAATACTGTTCCATTCCTGATCCCAGAGTCACCGTTGTCTGCACCACTCAAGGCCATTACGTCGGTGTTCTCGAGTTAAAGGGAGGACCCAGTGTGGCCGGTATGAAAACAAGCCAAAACTTTTCATTCGTCGGTAAACACTTCGCATGCCAATAGGTCTTCCGTGTTCTGCAAACCATTCATTTGCAATGGACCTGGTAGTGGAGAAACGGTCCCTTAAGGCCAATAATCTTAGGCGGCGATCTTCACGGTCTGTTGTTCTACGGCGGCGTTCAGTGCCCCTTGCTCTTTGCGTACGGCCTTCTCGAAGCCATGCCTGACAACACCTAACCACAGTGTCTAACTTCTTTGCACTCTAACTGCAATTGCCCGAAAAGAAAGTCCAGCTTCCCGAAGTCCCACTATACGGCCCCTATCAAACTCACTAAGTTGACGAAATCGTACAGGTCTCCGTACTCTAGGCATCGTAACCGATCGTAAAGGATGTCAAGAACCAAAATCTGCCAACGTTGATTCTTTACTGCGGCTGAAATATTCATTTTTAGAGCGTTAGTGAATTAAAAAAAAGCAGTATAAAAACCGGAATATCCAACTGATAAGGCTGAAAATTTTTTCACTTGTTATTTACAGTAAGATAAATACATTCACCAACTTTTATTAAAATAAACCCATTTAAACTGGGTGTTCGGATTTATATGTCACTTAGTATATAATAATCTTTATTTATCTTAATTTGTTCAGAAACACACAAAAATATAACTTAGCATTTCAATAAGTGTTTAAAATGTTGCCCGTTAGGGTTTGCCTAATCTACAATTCGTACATAATTTAAAACGGAAACTACCAACATAAACAGCAATTCGGAAGATTCGACGTGCAACAACCAAATAACAACCCGAATTTTTTCCGCATTCTGTTGATCAACACAGATATGTATTATTTTCGTGTGTTTTTGTTTTCTATCTAAACAAATTAAGATAATTAAACATTTTTATATATTTTCTTGAAAACGAATCGATCGATTTAAAAAATCCAACGTCAAAATAAATGACGCCGAAAGAGCTTTATAACAAGCAACTAGTCGTTATCTCTTGTCATTTAAAATTTTTAAGGGGATGACCCTGGGGAGCAGAGGGTGAAAGCGGTAGTTTTTGCTTGAAAAGTTGTCCCCCTTGACAAATCTTTTCATGTGTCTCATCGTTTTTCTTTTAGTCAGTGTTTTTCGATATAATCCGTGCTGGTACGTTTTTAAATGAATGTGTGTGGCCAGAGTTTAAAATTATCATAGAAACGATGACAAATACTAAAAATACGGTGAATTTATATACAAATATTATTTAAAATGGCCAGACTACCTGCATAATACTACTTACATTTAATCAAAAGACTCATTCGGTCAAAAATAACAATAGAAAAGTATCCCTCATTTGCATTTAGCCTTTTCGTGGAACCTTTTATAATAATATACATTGTTAATTTTAAATATCACTTAATGATCTAACTCTGCCATACTACTTGGAACAACCAAAAATTACATATGAGGGAACATTTTAAAATAGGTTAGATGGAATGTTTATCCCATCTTCTGGATTGCAATATTTAGTACTACTGTAACCCACCAGGTATCTACAGGGTGTCCGCAAAGTTGGGGTTATCCTTTTCAGAAACAACTACCCTTGAAATAACAAAGGTAATGTGTAGTGAAGCGAGGACGACCAAGTAAAAAAAATAAAGAAAAAAGTACTCACTCTCCAGTTGACGAGAAGGGCTAAGTACGTCTCTGAACGAAATCATACCGCTCCAACAGAAAATGAAATCAGCTGATGCGTTACCGAGCAGACGCCGGCGGTGGTGCAGACCAGTAGACCACGAACAGAGGTAACAAATATGACCATCGTGCAGAAACCACATTGATTGTCTTACACTTAATGGCACATCTTCTAACAAGGAAGGCAAAATGTTCCGTAAAAAGTCCAGGTATTGCTTCCCGTCCAATCGATTTGGGAGAATAAATGGTCCAATGAGCATACCGTTCACCATGCCAGCCCAAACATTCACCGAAAATGTTTGTTGAAAATGTGCCCGACGGACAGCGTGCGGATTTTCTACTGACCAAACATGAGTGTTGCGAAAGTTATTCACCCCATTACGCGTGAACGTAGATTCGTCTGTCACCAATATGTACTTCAAAAAGTCCGGTTTATTGTCATGTTGATGCAACAACCACTCACAAAACCGCACTCTTGCTGGAAAATCGTCAAGTTGAAGGGCTTGTACACGTTGGACGTGAAACGGATGTAGCCCCTCTTCACGCAGCGTTTGCCACACTTTAGTTTTTGATACTTGCACTTCTCTACCCACGTCTCTAGTGCTTGTTGTATTTTGTAACGCAATCGATTATACGGGTTCGTTTACCTCTACACGCGTGACCGTAACCGTCGGTTGAACGTTGCATACTGACCTGACACACTCACCCCAACCCCCGACCCAGTTCTGTCGTCGGGTTGAGCTAGTGTCCTAGTACCAGTCGGGGATATCGCGAGTCGCGGCTACAGGACGGTATTCAGATATTTTTGATGTTGCAGAGCCCTTTATCTCGGTTCCCTTAATACATTGGTGTATATGGTACTAAGAAAAATTGCTTATGTTTTCAAGATCTACGCGTCGTGTAAAGGAAAACCCCAACTTTGCGGACGTCAAGTCAAATGTGTAGAGATATGTATACGTCACACTTCGTTTAAAATACAAACTTGTGCCAAATTCTGTTGAAAAAATGGAAATTTTATCTGTTGCAAATATTAAAGTCAGCAAGTAGAAGTTATAAGTTTGGATCTACCTTCAATGATCTTGGGTCATACACTTGAATGATATCAGTGTAGTGAAACCATAAATCGATATTCGAAAAATGTTAACCTTAGAAAATGACATGTAACAAAAGGAAGAGCAGGCGAAGACAAGAAAATGTTGATAGTTTTCTCCGATCAATTATACACCAGTGCGAAAAAGTGTACATGCTGTGCTATAGTGCAGTCATTATTAACAAAGATATACGAACATTTAGGAATACTGAAATTAGTGAAAACATCAGTGTCGATGATCTTACAGGACACGTTGATTCATCTAGAACACAAAAATAATGTAACAAGTTTTTATTAGAAGCAAAAGCTTTTAAAGATTAACTAACAACTAATTTATAACGAACTCTACGACAGATATGATAAATACAGTGCGTAAAGTTATGGATGGACAACGAAAGTCAGATGGATTTTAACGATTTGATTCATATTTATATGTGTGTTCCGAAATTCAATAGTTCAGGAGATATTTGCAGATTTGTGACATTCAAGAAAAACAAAATTGTGCATTTTGGTACCTTCAAATTTAAATTACCAGCAGAATGTAGAAAGAAACTGACAATACCATTGGAATATGATAACATGTCAAATAAGTACTCAGCTTTTTCCCTTCGACCACCCCCTGGATTTTCCCGCTATGCACCTGGTTTGGTCATATTTCTATGCATTTTGTTTGGAAAAAAATGAGGTAATCTATCCCTTAACTTTTGATGTTATTGTGAAAACTATTACACCCTAGGAAGAATCAGACCTAAAACTGTAAGTACGTCATGTTGAGAAACCTGCTTCAAGTGGAAGAA